ATCTCTCATCTCTCATCTTCTATTTATCTACCTATCATCCATCCATCCATCCATCCGTCTATCTCATTTATCTATGTCTGTGTCTGTCTATCAATATCAAACTCATCTGTCTGTCTCTGCCTCTGTCTTGTCTGTCTATCCATCCATCCATCCATCCATCTATCTTCTATCTATCTACCTATCATCTGTCTGTCTGTCTGTCTGTCTGTCTGTCTGTCTGTCCGTCCGTCTGTCCGTCCATCCATCCATCCATCCATCCATCCATCCATCTATCATTTATCATCTATCTCTAGCTAGCTAGCTAATCTATCTCCCTGCACATACATATACATACATACATCTAGCAATATAAAGATTTCACCCAGACTAGTAAAACACAATATATATAAATACATACACACTATTATAAACAAATACTAATGTACTTTTTGGAAAAGCCCCAGAGCTTTTCCCGCATTTGTTGCTGAGGCGGAGACCTGGGGGGCAGAGCTGCCTGCTTGTGGGTCCCCCTTCTCAGCAAGCCAGTCACTCTTCCCCTGGCCCCCCTCCCCACCTTCTCCCTTCCAGCTCCGGACCACCAGCCGCAGGAATGCTTCGGCCTCCTTGAATGCCTGCACAACAACATGCAGGTGCAGACCCAGATCGCACAGGAGCAGCTGGCTCTGCTGCAGGACATCCGGGAGTCCATGAACCTCCTGATCTCCCAGCAGGACCAGCAGAACGGAGAGCTGCGGGGCCAGCTGGAGCAGCGCCCCCCAAGGTCCCCCTCGCCCCACCCGGGCAGCTAACAGGGAACGCTGGTGCCCCTCTCTTGGATGCAGGCCTTCTGCGGGCCTCCTGGGCAGGCGTTGCCCAGCATGTGGCGGTGTCCATGATGCAAGATTTTGCGTGGTGGGACTGACTGGCAGCGCAAGCTGCGCAATGCAAATAAAGTGCTTGTTATATTTTTTGCCCCGTGGCTGTTTTGCTCCAACAGAAATCCGCTTTTGATCTGAAACGCACAAGATCCTTTGCTGGGTTAATTCTGAACTAAGTGATTTTTTTTGTGTGAAACAGAGAACATTGAGAGTTTGGTCTAGTGGTGAGGGCACCCAGATAGAAACCAGGTGACAGTGAATTCTAGTGCTATCTTAGGCATGAAGGTCAATTGGGTGATTTTGAGGCAATCACCACGGGATGGTGAGTTCTAGTCCCACCTTAGCCATGAAAGCCAGCTGGATGACTTTCAGATCAGCCCACCTCACCGGGTTGTTGTTGTGAGGAAAATGGGAGGGGAAAGCAGTCTTTGGTACATCCACCGTACCAGAATTATTTATAAAAAACAATAAAGGATGGATATAAATAAATAAAGCATGCAGTTTCCAAAAAATAGGCAGGCCTGGCAGGACAGCCACATCCGACTGCAGTGTGTTGTGTGAACCCAGGCTAGGATATTTTTCCTTTAAAACTTTGTAACTGAACCTGGTGGTTTGTTTTTAGCCAAACACTGATTTTGTTGCTTGCATTTTAATGTACAGATAGCCCTCAACTTACAACAGTTCATTTAGTGACCGTTCTAAGTTAAACTGACACTGAAAAACTGACTTGTGACCATTTTCAGACTCGACCACCATTGCTGCATCCCTGTGGCCAGGCGATCAAAATTCGGACGCTTGGCAACTGACTCATGACGGTTGCAGTGTCCTGGGATCAAGTTATCCCCTTTTGTGACCTGAAAGTCAATGTGGAAGCCAAATTCACTTAATTAGCCGTGTGACTAACTTAACAAACCGCAGTGATTCATTTAACAACGGTGGCAAGAAAAGTCATAAAATGGGGCAAAACTCACTTTAATAACTGTTTTGCTTATTGACAGAAATTCTGGGCCCAATTGTGGTCATAACTCAAGGACCACCTTTATTGATGGACTGGCATCTGTCAGAAACGGTGTAGGGTTTCCTGCTTGAGCAGGGGGGGGTTGGACTAGATGACCTACAAGGTCCCTTCTGATTTTTTTATTCTGATTTTTTTTTCTTCCCAGTTTGGGTTCCTTTTTTTCTTTTCTAATTTGGCTTTAGACTTCGAGAAAGTAACCTTTCTTTTAAAAACCAGAGGCATCTACAACAGGGAATTGCTCTCTTCCTTGACTATGAGGCGGTGGGGTGGGGGGGCGATGAGGCGCCATCCTGAGCTGAGGAAAAGGCGCTGGGCCCGAAGACTCCATCTCCCAGGGATCTCAGCGGCAAAGGCAGGAAGCACGTGACGCTCCGGGGGGCGGAGCGTCAGCCGCGCCTCCGAGGCAGCCGAGCGCTGACGTCCTCTTCCGTTCTGCTGGCGGCTTGCAGGAGCGAAGGTGGGAGGGGGCTGCGCGGTCCAGGGGTTTATTAATGGGGAGGGGGGCTGCCGGGAGGGGAGGGGGTATTAAGGGAGGAAGGGAGAGATTCTCATCGGGCTCTGTTTGTTTGGAGGGGGGGAGGAAACTTTCTGGGGTCTCTGCTTTAAAAAGACCCCCAAAGACAGAGCCTTGGGAATTGGAGGGGGGGGGGCGCTGCATAAATACTACCAAGTTTGCCCTTCCTTGCGGTTCCACCTTTTCTCCTTGGTTCCCAGCCTCAGCACACCAGGCATCCTCTGGTTGGGTAGGACTACAGTTCCCATCTCCCCCAATGAGCAGGTACCTTTCTTCTCCCCCCTCTGTACACCAGGCACCCTCTGGTTGGGTAGGACTACAGTTACCATAACCCAACCAAAAGCTACCCCTTCTTTGTCCTCCCCTTGAACTCCAGACACCCTCTAGTTGGGTAGGACTACAGTTCCCATCACCCCCAACCAGAAGTACCCTGAGAGCTACCCTTCTTCTTCCCCTGCCCTGCCTTGCACCCCAGGCACCCTAAGGTTGGGTAGGACTACAGTTCCCATCATTCCTGAACAGAAGCTACCCTGAGAGCCTTTCAAAGTGGGTGGGTGGGTGGGTGGGAGCAAAGAAGGAGGGTGGCCATTCCTTGATTTTTCTTAAAATTCTTCCTTTCCAACCGCCTCCAACATGTAATGGTGGTTAAGGTGGAAGCTGACAATCTGACTAGCAATCAGGGTTTCTAGCCTGATGCCTCAATCACAGCACCAAACCGGCTCCCCAAAGGTTTCCTTCCAGTTGAGCTTCACGCTGTGGATGTCTTCTGTGGTTTTCTGGGAAGTGGGCTGCAATTGTGCTTTTCCGGGATGTATTCTGGATTTACCAATTTACCCTCCGGCCTGGGATTTCCAAAGGCCATACCTAGAGTCCTGCATCCAGTTTTGGTCACCACACTATAAAAAAGAGGTTGAGACTCTAGAAAAAGTGCAGAGAAGAGCAACCAGGATGATGAGGGGACTGGAGGCTCAAACATACGAAGAACAGTTGCAGGAACTGGGCCTGGCTGGTCTAGTGAAGAGAAGGACCAGGGGAGACAGGAGAGCAGTATTTCAATATTTGAGGGGCTGCCACAGAGAGGAGGAAGGGGGTCAAACTGTTTTCCAAAGCACCCAGAGACCAGACAAGGAATAATGGATGGAAATTGATCAAGGAGAGATTCAACCTGGAAATAAGGAGGACATTTCTGACAGTGAGAACAATCAACCCATGGAACAGAAGTTGCCTTCGGAAGTTGTGGGAGCTTCATCCCTGAAAGCTTTCAAGAAGAGATTGGGCTGCCCATCTGTCAGAAATGGTGTAGGGTCTGCTTGGACGGCGGGGTGTGTGTGTGTGTGTGGACTAGATGACCTTCAAGGTCCCTTCCAACTCTGTTCATCTGTATCAGTGTCTAAGTAAGTCCTAGCCAGTTCCTAAACCTGCAGCCACCTGCTGAGGCTTAAATGGATTGATGTTTCTCTGTTAATAGGACCAATGTCTCAGTCCTGAAAGTTTGTCAGTGTTTTGCTTCCTTCTCCGAAAACGCACCCCTTGTGTTCATTCTTCCTTCCAGATGATGAAGCTGCTGCTGCTTGCCTTCCTTGGGGTCTTCTCTTCCGTCCACTGTGAGGAAGGGGCCAGGCTTCTAGCCTCCAAGGCTCTTCTGAACAGATACGCCGTCGAGGGCCGAGATCTCACTTTGCAATACAACATCTACAATGTTGGTTCCAGGTACATCCAGAAGCAATGACAAGGGGGCTGCCCCCTTGCTGACCTGGGACCCCCGCGACGCCTGGGGGATAGGTGGCTTGCACACGTATGGGCTACTTTGAAGACGTAACTATATTTGACAATTCAGGCAGGCCCTGACTTTAACGAACGGTTGCTTAGTGACCATTAAGTTGCAACTGGCTCATATTTATGACGGGGGCAGTGTCCCCGGGGGAGCGGGATATGTGATCTCCTTTTGTGACCTTCTAATGAGCGAAGTCCATGGGCAAGCCAGATTCACTTAACGACCGTGTGCGACTAGCTTAACAGCTGCAATGGGTCAACTCATAAAATATTTCTATGGCCTTTTTAGAGTTGCCAACAGAAAGGGAGGGGGGGAAGGGGTTTGAAAGAGCAGTGCGGCAGCTTGGAAATCGAAAGCACATTCCATAGTTTTTCAAAGATAGTAACTAGGTGACCGAAGTTTCTGCCGTGCAAAATTCTAACTGGAGAGCATGATTGATGACTTTGGGCTAGGGAGGTGTCCCATTGGAGAATACGAATTACGATACACCCAGGTGGGTAGAGGGAAAACCAGCATCAAGGGTGACAATGTGTCTCAGAGTTGGTTACACCCAGGCATTGCCGGACATGTTAACTCCCAATAAATCCTTTTGAAGTTTTGAAAGTTTGGCTCAAGACTCATGATTTAATTGGGGCAACTGCCGGAATCCTGACACAATGATTCACATAACAATTTGTGGCAAGAAAAGCATCAGGGTTCCAAGTAAATAGATCCATAGCAAGCAAACCTCCGAGGCAGGTAGATTTCCTCAAAGAATAGCAATAGCCCTTAGACTTATATACCGCTTTATAGTGCTTTATAGCCCTCTCTAAGCAGTTTACAGAGTCAGCCTCTTGGCCCCCAACAATCTGGGTCCTCATTGTACTGACCTTGGAAGGACAGAAGGCTGAGTCAACCTTGAGCTTGGTGAGATTCGAACTGCCAAATTGCAGGCAGCAGTCAGTCAGCAGAAGTCGCCTGCAGTACTGAACTCTAACCATTGCTCCACCGCAGTTCATATACCTTTATTGGATATATTGGCACAGATCTGGTGAAAACCGACTCTGAAGCTTCCCGCGGTTTTCACCTAATTGAAAGTTTTGTCCCTTTCTCAAAACTTTCGATCCAGTCACGACACTGTCTGGGTGCCTGGCGACATCACTCCGCCTTCCTCCGACCAGGTGTGAGAATGACCTTGGTTCCCAAGAAGAAAGTCTTGTATTTTGGCTACAAAACCCCAGCTATTTCAAATCCTTCCTCCCTATCCTTTAGCTCCAGTGTGACAACACTGAATCTCCAAGATGGTGCTTGGAGGTCAGGTAAGCTTCAGGGCTGACACTGCATCCTTCATAGGGGATTTATGAACTATATAGCAGCTTACTGTAAATCAGAAGTCAGAGCAACATTTCATTCCAATAAGGTGTCACAAACTGAAACTGATCTACATTCCAGAGACATTAGTAGACCTGCCAAGAATGGATTTAATATTAGTTATGGCATCCAGATTATGCTGGATGTAAAAGATCACGCAATCACACAAAGGTTAATGGTTTAGTTTTTGAAAGTTTAGGATTCCTCTTCTGCTTTCTGTAGCTTTTAGGCCAATGAAGACTCATGGAAAGCTTTTCCCATGTCTTAAGGTTGTTGGTCCTAATAAAGTTACTGTCCAACAATGGATCTAGTTTTTTTTTTAATTACTCTAGAGCAGGAATCTCCAACCTTGGCAACTTTAAGACTTGTGCACTTCAACTCCCAGAATTCCTCAGCCAGCAAAGCTGGCTGAGGAATTCTGGGAGTTGAAGTCCACAAGTCTTAAATCTGGACAAATTGTTTCAACTTCTACCCTCAAAATGATGCTATAGGGCACTGCACACCAGAACATCTAGACATAAGGACATTTTTTTCCTAAATGCCATCATTCTGCTCAACAACTAATTCCCACAACACTGTCAACTTATTTACTAAGACTGTATTACTATTATTCCTCTCATCCTTCCTAGTATCTATCTCTTCCCACTTATGACTATAAACTCTTGCTTGTATCTTTAAAACTTATATTTCTAAATTTGTTTTCCTAGTAGGTTTTGAATGTGTATTAGTAACCTATGTATGATTTAATTGCTTATTAATAACCTATGACTACACTAAGTGCTGTATCATATGATTTTTGATGAATGTATTTTATTTTT